AGTAGTGTGTGTGTGTGTGTGTGTGTGTATGTGTGTGTGTGTGTGTGTGTGTGTGTGTGTGTGTGTGTATACATACACACATACACATATTCGAGCTTTTAATAGTGACTTTTATCGATGAACCAAAGCTGCAAACACCCTAGGGTTTTAGTGCAATAGTTCTCACCTGGGGAACTTTTTAAAACTCCATCTGCCCGGCTATCTCCCAGACTAATTAAATAAGGATTTCTGGACTATAGAACGTTGGTGTCGAGGTCGTTAAAACTCTCCAGGTGATGCCAGTGTGCAGGGAGGGTGACAACCACGTACAGGTGGGGATGAGCACAGAGGTGTCTCCACAGCTGAGTTTATTTGATTTTACCTTCCACCCGGGCCTCTGGCTACAATCACTGGGGCCACTTCTGTCTGTGATGTCCCCTCCCTCAGGTTCTATCTCAGCTGGGAGAGGATGACATTTTCTTACAGAACTTTACACAGTATGGAGGGAGAACCTATGAAGAACCTATCAGTCAGTTTGCCAGATTAGGTAAGGAAACACAAGATGTCCAGTTAAATTTGAATTTCTGGTAAACAACAGATGACTTTTTCAGTATAATTGTGTCCCATGCAATATTTGGGAAATGCTTATACAAAATATTATTTCCTGATTGTCTGAAATTCAAATTGCGCTGGGCATCCTGTATTTACCCAGCCTAGAAAGGGAGTTAAATCAAGTCAAAATAAAATTTTAAATGGCAGGTTTCTGATCTTGTGGTTGATGACATGCTTGCAGGGCAGTGCCCTGGCACCTGCCACCGGGATGAGCAGACCTGAGCCTAAAGGGGTAGCAGTTCTTCACTGACTGCTGACTTCTGCGCCTCTGCTCACAGAGCCTCTTCTCATGGGGTGGGAAGGACTTTACGTCCCATCATGTGAATTTAACTCCCAGTCACACTTTTCCCTTGATTGTCAAGGTCAGTCCTTAGCCTGGAGCTGCTGGGAGCCCTCTGGTTGTCCTCTTTAATTTCTGTTTCATATTTGAGGGAAGGGTTTCATGTGGAGCCAGCATGACAACTGAGCTGATCATTTCCGACTCTGGTTATTAGGTCTGCCCACCTGTGGAGCCGCTGGGCCGCTCAGAGCCCAGCAGGTACAGGTAGCAAGAAGGGTAAGGTGACGTCCCATACAAGCCATTACTCAGACTCAGGACCAGCTTCCTGGGCTCGGACCTGTGCCTTCACACAGGGCCTCCTGTAGAAGGGCTGCATCTTGGTTTAATGCTCTGCTGTCAGCATTTTTGAGATTCTTAATAATTTATGAACAAGAGGTCCACATTTCCATTAGTACTGGACACTGCAAATGATGTCATGGGTCCAGCTTGTATGACAAAATATAGGCAAAATAGACTAAAATTAGTGGCCTTTCTGCCCAGACAATAATTCACATTCCCTGTAGCAGGTATGGGCTTAATCTTCTCTCTTGGGTAAGTTGTGTACCTTTGGTAGGGGGACCTATAACAAGTGCTCACACGGTTCTCCCTGCTGTGCCAGGCAGGCCTGTGTTAGGAAGGACTTGCACAGTTCAATCCCAGACATTCTATCTGGGAGCTCGAGTTAGCCTACGTATCTTTTCAAGAGTTGCTATCTTTTAGGATGGCATTTAGTAGCCATCACCATTCATCAGTCAGCGATTACTGAGCACCCGGCCCTGTGCAAGGCACCTTTCTGCGCTCGCTCCATCATCATTATCAATCATCCCAGTAGATGTGTTCAGTGTTTCTCTGTGCGTGACACTGCACTGCACATGGAGTGTGCTAAGTGAGCTATTTTCTGTTGGTGAAATTAACCCAGCTCTGAAAGGCAGCCATTGTTACCTTTGGAGCAGTGAGTTTCTCCACATCAAAAAAGGGTGTGTCCCATCAGGGGTGAGAACCAGGGGCTAATTTTTCTGGCATTTGCTGCTGTGAGATTCAGATAGAGATAATGATAAACCTACAAAAATCCGAAGATGACGCATTGAGTTGGCTCAATCAAAGCTGCCCTCCTCCCACATCTGCTGTAATAGTCGTGTAAAATCCTGCAAAATCATTGCCCTCTCTACCAGGGCTGAAGATAGCCAAGTGGGTAATGGCAATATAAGGTTGGCCTGGGGAAGCCAGCTGGTAGGAAACTCTTCTGAAATCAGGTATGTGGAAGCACTTTGAGAAATATCGTGAAAAGTAATGTAAATCATTGTTCTTATTCATGGCTTGTAGAGCTGGCTTGAGGCAGTTTCGGAATCTCCTCTGCAATGCCAGCCAGTCCTAATCTCATATACAACTCACAACAATTGACAAGATGAAACAGCTCCAGAAACATAAGGAGGCCCTTGTGGTTGAAGTGTAAGACAAGTTTTAATGTCTCATGCCTTGTGCCAAGGCAGAATGCTGGATCCCATTGCATCCTGGGGCCATCTTTGAGCAGAAACCTCAAGAGAAACAGAGCTCTTTACCATTTGAGCAAACGCCATAGTTCTGCTCTTTGCCAAAACGTTTTGAGTCGGCCTTATGGTGGAAGTAGAATTGTTACAGTGTGCTGACAGATTTTGAGCATTTTATTAATAAAACAGCTATTTTGCAGATATTTGATGCCAAATATGTTGATATGAGGCAAAAAAGCATCTCTAGGTATACAGAAATGCAAGTCAAGGGCAGCCTTTCTTACTGTCTGTTCTGCCCATTTGCCAACAGTTGCTTGGAAAATGACAGCTATGTTGATATTTTTATCTGAGGGAATTAACCCTGCAGGGAACTGAAATGTCTTGCATTAAGGAAGATGCTCTTAGATTGAACTGATTTGAGTGGAATGATTATCAGGAACCCACCAGGATCTTGGAAGCATGTGAGTTACCGTGGGAGACGATGCTATGAGCAAGGAGAGTCAGTGCCTTCAGGAGACTTGAATTCTAATTGAGAGAACACATTGATCACACCATTAGATTGTACTAGAATGTAATGTGATTCTTTTCTGGCATAATCTAATATTACCACAGATTATATAGGACCACATGTTTTTACCCTTGGAACCAGATGCTTTGGATTCAGGGACTTTTTAAATTTTAGAAATGCAATATGGTTCCCCTAGTGAATATCACCACCACCTCCAGGGGGACCTCGGGGAGCTCTTTGTAGGCTCATCCCATGATATTCTGCAGTGAAACTGAGGACCAGTCACACCAGCTAGAATAAGTCAAGTCTACAAATAGCCCTACAGTGATTTAGGTCTGGTTTTAGCACCAAATGAGTTTAACTTTGGGTTTGGGGAATGTTTCAGAAGTACAGATAATGGATTGGGAGCCATGGAGTAGAGTTTAATATAAAGCAATATAACCTCAAAGAATTTTGGACTATATAACGTTGGCTGTCATTTTATTGAATGTCTATTCCACATCAGACATGGAGAGTTTCACACCGATGACACTAGGTAGGTACTGTTGTTCCTACTGTTATTCTTACTTTGGAGATGAGGAAAATTTCCGAGAGAAGTCAAGTAGCCCGCTGGGTGGCAGGTGATACAGCTGTGATCTCAACTAGGGGACCATGGTGCCTGTGAACACACTTTGCTGTCAGGCTGTCTGGGGTCCAAGTCCCAATTCTACCACTGACTGGCTGGGTGAACTCAAGCGAAAGGTTTGATGACTTTGTCACATGGACTAGAGAGGGCTTTTAGGCGTAAAAAGATAAAACTTCAGATAGCTATTTATACAACCTAATAATAAAAGAATAACCCCAATGCTACTCTGAAAAGCTAAGAATCCAGTGACTAAATCCAAGTCACAAAGGAAACCTGTTGATCTCCATTTGGTTTGGTGTTGACAAAATTAAATAACATAAAAATTACTAGACTAAGAAAGAAGACTCCCTTTGTGTGATGAAGACGCTACATCTGATACAGTCACCGTCAGACTAAGCGGTGAGATTTCAGTAGTTTTCCCGTTAAAATCAGAAGCAGCACAATAATCCACAACATCATCACGATGATTTTGTCACGTTCTGGAGGTTCCAGCTAATGGATTAAGACATCAAATGGATATAAGAGGTTTGTTTAAGGAGAAGTGAAAGATACAATATTTATAGATATCATGGCGCTTAGAAAATGGTGGAGAACGAATTTATAAACCTAGTACTGAATCTAAAGTTTCTGCAATCTGGCAGGATGCCAGACAGATTATTTAGTAGCTCGCCCCTGTGTTAGCAATACTGTTAGATTATATAATGGTAAAAAAAAAAAAGTCCAGTAGGAAAACAATGGCGATCACTGCAGCACATCCAGAAGGAAACAGGGACAGAGACGGGGAGGGGGCTGTGGGCACAAAGGTGCTACTCTCCATAGAATTTAAAATAGAAAAAAAAAGGGAAAGAAAAACACTGCATGTTCAATAATAGGAGAAAAATTAACTAAATGATGGTAAAATTCCAAAGATAGAAAGATAAATTATGTGCTCATAAAGTAAAGTAAAATGTTCAGAACATTAACGTATACTCAGGATGTATTCTATATGCATCCGGATTTCAGTTTTATTTTTACACAGAAAAAATATGAGATTAAAGCATCAGAATGTTAATAACTATGAGATGTGGGACTAGAGGTGATTTTTATTTTCTTTTTTATACTTGCTGTACTTTTCAAATTTTCTACCAAAGGCAAGAACATGTTTTATAATGCAAAAGGTTATTCAAAAGCTTTCTGGGTAAAAAAAAATCATACCAGAGGAATGAATTCACCCACCTAATATTACTTTTCTTCCCATAACATGCACTATACTTTGTGTACTTTTGTTGCTGGTGTACAATTTCAAGTAAAATAAATCATGGCGTATTTACTGAAAACAGCCAGATCTTGTCTTTAAAATATAGAACAATACTCTTTACCTGCTGCTTTATTGATTAAAAATAATTAAAATTCTGCACAGAAGCTTCAATGATTTTTTTTTCATGATGTCTTGTTACAAGACTTGGATTCAGTTTCTGGAATGGAGAAAATGCCAAAATGTACAAGAAGACCCTGGGAGACATTTGTATCATTAACTCTTTGAAAAATAAATTACCTCACTTCCTTTATTACTGTGATAATTAACCCACGTTCGCACCGACTCTGACGAACACTCTGTATTATTTATGATGCTCCATTTGTGGTTTGCTGGTCAACCTAATGGGTAGTTTTTATTTTCATGTGGGAAGCATTGAGGTAGTGCTCATCTTCGAGTAACTTCTCACCAAAAGAGTCAAAATACACTTTTTTAAAAAAACCTGAATCCATATAGATCACAGGTGAGCACAAATTTGATTTGACTTCCTTTGGCCTCTATTTTATCTTATCCACTTGGGTTAATAGGTGATATTGACAGATTTACCCAAGACTTCCAACTCTTGAAACAGAGCTTAGCACCTAATAGTTGTTCACTCTGTGCTGGTGGGCTGGATGGAAATGGGACTAAAAGTCTGGGGCTTCACACTGCTGGCCCCACGGTGTCCTCTCCCTGTGAAACGTCCCTCCCCTGCCACCCACAGGGTCTCAGCACACTGCGGTCCTCATCTGAAGGCACCCACGCCCATGAAGGTCCAGGGCAGAGGTGGTTTCCTTCATTTGGACGACACCAGTCATTTAGGGACTGTGTGCTCCACGCCCGGCTCTGTGCTGAATTTGGCCGAGAGTTTTAGTTTTTCTGCTGCGGAGCTGATTTCAGAGCCCAGAGCCCAGAGCCAGCACAGAGCCAGCTGCTCCCTTTCCGGGCCAGGCCCCAGCGTGCCTGTGGGTTTTCTCTGCTTTGCTGCCCGGGAGTCATGCCGCCGCCTTCCCCCTAATCCCTGCAAAGCAGGCAGGCTGCCAGCACATCGAGTGTGTCTGCAAAATGCAGACAAATTGCTGCTCTTTATTAGAGGTTCGGACGCAGGATCTGGGGAAGCTCTGAACTACAGGGTGTTGGGTTTCTCGGTTCCTTTTTCTCAGGCTCTACTTGCAGAAATTTGATGTTTTGAGTGATGTGTTTTGCCACCTCCCACCTTCCCTCCCTTTCTCCCTTCCTAAAGACTTTAGGAATAAAACGAGATCTCTTTATTGATTATTCTCACTGACTTGGAAGGATACCCAGCCTGTGCTTACTATGTTTGGTCCTTGCTAAGAAACGTGCTGTCTGTCCTGCTGCGGTCATGCTCTCCTGGGGGCGTTTCCCTTGACTTTGTCATTACCAGCCTTTCCAGAATCTCAGGAATCCCTCTCCCCAGTCCTGTTTCCAGCTCACTCTCTGCTACCCCCCCCCAGTAGTCCTTTGACCTTCCCAGACTATGACCCCCACTTCTCTCTCCTTATCTCTCATCCCTGAGCTCTCTCCTAGACTGTCTGGTCTCCCAGGTCTTCTTGCTCTTCAGAGCCCACCCTGGGCACACTCCTTCCCCACCACGCCTTGTACTTGTGACTCCCTCTTTCTGGAATGTTCTCCTTATCTCCTTCAGGTCGTTGCTCAGATATCACCTCTGGGAGGCCTTCCTTGACCATTGATCAAATTGCAGCATTTACTCCGACTTGACGTCACCCGCCCCCTCCCCTCCCTGACATCTCTCCAGAGCCCTCATTGTCAGTAGACGCACCTGTCTGCACCTTCCCTGTTGTTGCTGCCGAGCATCTCCCTCCGCCACCAAACTTAAGCTGCGTTGATGGCAGGCATCTTTGTCCATTTTGTTCACTTGGCTTAAGGTATTTCATCATCAGAAATACCTGTTGAATAAATGAGCGAGAGAATGAAGTTCCCGGTTGAGTCTGGAGGTCAGCCAGGCCCAGAGTTCTGTGATGAGAAGCATTCCACTCAAAGTCAGAATCTCAGTGGCCCAGATGTTTCTTTATGTGCAGATATGGTGCATCTTATAGACAAAACATTGAGGCAACAGGCAGAATTATGAATTCTTTTCCCAGCAATTTGATGATACAACCAAAATGGGGAACTCTGGAATCCCACCTACCCCCCTGTTCTCATGTCCAGCCACTCTTGCATACCATTACAGCTCTTTTTTTTAAAAGCATCTCTTTTAAAAATGTTTTTATTGAAGTGTAGTTGGTTTACAATGTTAGTTTCATGTGTACAGCAAAGTGATTCAGTTAAACATATACATACACAGATATTTTTTCTTTTCAGATTCTTTTTCATTATGTGCTATTATAAGAAATTGAATATAGTTCCCTGTGCTCTGCAGTAGGTCCTTGCATCTATTTTAGATATAGTAATGTCGTCTGTTAATCCCCAACCCCTGATTTATCCCTCCCCCCTCCTTTCCCCTTTGGTAACCATAGTTTGTTTTCCATGTCCACGAGTCTGTTTTTGGTTTGTAAATAGAATTTGTATCACTTTTTTCAGATTCCACGTATAACTGATATCATATGATCTTTGTCTTTGTCTGACTTACTTCACTTACTATGATAATCTCTCAGTCCATCCAGGTTGCCATTACAGCTCTTAAGCACAGGAAGGGATTAAGTAACCTTAGTCTGGGGGTTGACATACTTCAGGACGCAGTTCTGTGCCATGTAAAGGGGTCCTAGGCTTCTTTGATCAACAGCAGTGACCTTTTAGCCCGTCACCCTCCTGATTCAAGTCTTGCCCTCTTACGGATCGTTGTCCCCATGACTGCCAGGGTTATCTTCATAAAACCTGTGTTTACATTACCAGAGGGTAAGCACAGTTTTTCAGGCACTGTGAATGAATGCCATCCCAGTCCTGGATGACTTCACAGTGAGCTCCAAGAATGCCCCCTGGCCGAAGTTGATTTGCCTCTGGACTTGCCCTCCGCTCCAGGACCGCCGGTGTCTGCCTGAGCTCCGGGGGCCGGGACTCTGGCTCTTCCTGTCCTTGTCATCTACTCACTGCTGCTTCGCTGCTTACACTGTGGCTTAGCAGGAAGTGACCGGAGGCCCATGGGGGCCTGCCTGCTCTCTCCCTGCGCCCAATCTCAGTGAAAAATCGGGCTTTTCTTGGCACCACTACTACTGATGTGAAAAGATCATCATAATGCATGGTTTTAATCAAGGTCTGCAAAGGGTTCCACGGGAGCAGAGAGGAGAAACACTTCACCCAGTCTGAAGTGGTCAGGGAGACATCCTAAAAGAGGTGACCTTTGAGTAATAAAGGACACATAGGAAAAACTGGGAGAAGAATTGGCATTAGCAAAGTCATAGAGTCAAGACACAGGCAAGACAGCCCAGTGCGAGCGTACTGCTGCCAATCGCTACCTCAGTTGCTAGGGTGTGGGATGAGAGAAAGAGCCTGGAAGAGAAGGGTCTGGAAAGGAAGTTGAGTCCAAGACCCAGATTAGGAGTTCGGGCTGTCAGGCAGGGATGTGGTGCCCTCAACTGATTTGAGGTAGTGTTGTGGGGAAGAAGGGGATCTGAGTGGCATCTTAGCAAGTTCTGTCCAGCTGCAGGATGGCGGACGGACCATGGGAGAAACTATGGAGGGCGAAAGGAAGGCAGGAGGCTAGAGGAGGGCAAGGCAACAGCTGCCCTGAGAGCTGGAGAGACCTGGCCCAGAGCAGCGGCCACTGCCATCACCAGCTAGACCAGTCCAGCCACGGATGGTCCACTCTTTGGAAAAGAGCAATGGGCTCTATGTGTATAAACATAGCATAGACTCCTTCTATGTTCAGACAAATCAGAGAAATTTTTTAAAGGAGGTAAAACGAGGAAGCAGACAGTGGACCCTGAATAGCCTTCTTTTGTCCATTCCCCAGTAGTTCTGGGTAACTTGTGCAAATCTTAGGTCTTTGGTCTTTCTCTGTCTGTTTGTTAGCAACAGCTGACATTTCTGAAGGGGAACTGAGAAATAGTTACTGTTAGAAGCTATAAAGTGTTATAGAATGCCGTGGGATGTGTTGTTATTTGTTTCTGCCCATTAGAGAAAGGGAAGCCTTCCTGCAAATGGTTTCTATAATTCCTTGGGTTGAAAAAACCCAAGGAGGAATAGTAACCACTAATTGGGGAAGGGATGTCTCATTTCATACAGTTCTCAACTCAGCCGCTGGACTTTGTTCTTCATTACTTCCATATCTGAGAATGCTTAATTGTGTAGAACCAAGATTCCTAGCTCAAGGATTAATCATCAGCAGTCATTTAATCAGTTGGGTTAACAGTTAAACCTGCCATAGACACTTACTCTTTGAAAGTATATTTTCTTCTCTTACAATCATTTCGAACATAATCTGGGAAGCTGACCCTCTTGGGCTGACTTCTCATCTTCCTTTCCCTCTGATCAATAGAATGCAGTTTTTCCAAGCAACAGCTCTATTTCTAAATCGTTTAAAAAGGGAAGAGTAGGAATTTAATTTTAAGTCCAACACTTTTTTTCTTTTATAGCCAGTGCACTCTTCATGCTTCTTTATTTTCCCCACCAGCATCTTTCACTCTGGTGTTTTAAGGAAGGAGTGTTTTATTGCTCAAGACTTCGCAACATGGTGGCCTACAAGCAGTTATAAAGAGGGGTTTCGATGATATATATTAAAAATGATAAATCATTTTCCAGCCTTCTGTAATGTTTCATTTTCTCTGGATCCTTACCCTTCCTGACTCGTGTACCTGGGCTGATTAATGCCCCATCTCCCCTGTTACACTGTAATCCAGGGCCTGTGTTTCATTTGCCTGCCAATAGTGATAGCCAATAAATTAATCATGCAGCCACATAAGCCTTGACACGCAGGCTGCTGCCGGCATAAAACTGCCCATCAGAAAGCTGGCACTTCGGAGCCTCCATGTATCTGGTACCCTCAAGAGTCACACGGTTTCACAATTGGAGCGGCAAATGCTCATTTCTTCGTAGGCATGGGCTGGGAAAATGAGAGAAGGCTAATTAATGCATTCAAGGGACCCCACTGAATCAGCAAGCCCCTTAAAGGCACAACAGACACAAACAGGCAGCTGCAGCTCTTTGGAATTCAAAGCAACAACAAAAGAGCTAGTTAAATATTTGAATAGCTAAAGTATATGTCTATTCATTCCCATGGAAATTGCTAAAAGAGGCTGTCCTCCTTTCTCCAGAGGAGTCAGAGTCATTGAAATCCCAAAGCTTTTCATCCTGTCAAACATTCCTTTGAAGAGCAGGACATTTACATCTCCATAACAGACCAATTCAACATTAGTGGTAATAAAACTTGGGTGCGTGGAAGGACTCCGGAATATGGTACCCATTTACTCCAGCCTCTGGGGATGCAGGAATGACTTAATGAGAACTAGATTACTATTGCCCGATCCCTGTATTAGTTTGGCATCTTCCAGGTGCAAGTGTCTCGAACAGTAAATATGCCCTCAGGGAGTAAACATCGAGCCCTGGATGTGGCTTGATCCAAGGCCCGAGCAGTATGGCTCTCTTCTGTTAGGCTGGCCAGACTTGGAGACAAACTTCTTTCTCCTGGGTGCGGCAAAGATGACTTCCATCCAGTCCTGAGGCTAATCCTTCCAGAGGCCCATCCAGCAGGAAAGAGAACATCATTTACGTCAACCTTTGTACACACAGCCCAGGCTTGTTTTGATCAGACTAACTTTAGGCACATGCTGCTTCTTGAGCCAACCACTGTGGGCAGGGGATGGAATTATGCTGAAGTTTTATGTGTGAGCCATTGGTCCCATC